ATTTTTAATTAGTAATATAAATTTTGTTTACTTCTAGTTCATTATTTTAGACAGATAAAATATATCAAGAAATTTGATCGACATTAATCATCTGTTGAAGTTAACTTAATCATTGTATGATTAAGTGATTATTAGTCAGTAATAGTCAGTAGACTCTTTACCCGAATCCGGAACTACCGATTACCAAATAATTTTCATATTACTTCAATTTGTTATAAGCAAGGTTTACAATAATTTACAATTATTAATGAATCACGTGTGTATGATATATCTACTACATTATTATTGTTGTTTGACACAAATGTAATTCTATCAAATTAGGTGTCATATATGTATACATATATAGTGTCATATATCATGTAGATTATTCAATTCTTGCATTGTGCAAATTCAAAATATTTGGCTTTTATTAGAGTGCCTTCGGGTGTTTTTGGTGAAAATAAATACGTAATCGACATAGAAACTATTACGATATTTAATATTAATTAAACTAAAGCAGTATTCAATTTAAAAAATTGGAAAAAACCCAAAATCTATAGAATATACGACATATTTATAAAAGAAAGTGTGTGTACATAATAGATGATATTCAAGAAAGTTAAAGATCGTCAAATTTTAATGTCTTATTAATCTTCTAAGCCTCATCCCCTCTAAATAGTAAAACTTCTTTTGTTTTGTCATTGACGTGACAGAGACATACATACATACGATTTTATTTGTTACTCATTCAATAATTACAAAATACGCAGCCAGTCACATCATCCTATTCGTCCTTATTCAGTTCGTGTAGTATAGTCCAAATCATCTGTGGAACACCGCATCTAAGGTTCGGTCACAAGTCCATCTTCGCATTCCTTAGCATCTGTACTGAATGCGAGTCCTTTAATTCCATTCCAAATTAGTTTAGGGAATAGAAAAACACAAGCAGCAGCACAAATAATCAGGTTCGTAGTTTGATCTCCTTCAAATATTGGTCTGCAACCTGCTCCAGTAGCGCAGCCGTCTGCGCATGCCACTGAAGTCGCTGTTAGTGCTGCTTCTATTGACATTTTAAATTGTTTATTAGAATCAAACGGTTTTAAAAAATAAATCTTATTATCTTCTAGGTTTTTGATTTTAACTGTAATGGAAAAATTTTTATAATGTGAAATGACATTTTCAAAATTTCAGATATTTTCTCTCTACCTAGATTCAAATATTGATATTGAAATTGAAATTGAATAAAATTGATGCAGACAACATATAAAACACTAACTCACAACTATTATCAAAATGATCAATATAATAATGAGAGGTTTCTGCAATTGTGTCTCAAATTTGTGTCAAATTTGTATAAAATTTTCAAGCAAATAGTGTATTCAAAGTCAGTCAAAGTCAGTGATTATGATAATAATTTCGAGAATCTTGAACAACAAAAGTATGGCTGAAATGAATTAGTCCACTTTTGTTATATGTTAGGTGATATTAATAAATGTTAAAGAAATAGAAATTAGAACGAGATGAGCTAACACATCGCCAATTTCAGCACGCAAAAGTTGACTGACGAATATAACAACCAGAATCAGAAACAAGAGGAGTTCTTCAGAAGCAATAAAGGAAGTGATAAGACTTTATTGATTTTATGTAAGTGCTCCTGATTCACGGACCATTTGGTTAACCATTTAGATACAAATGAGATAGATAAAATTATGAATATGTATTATGTATTATTTTGTAGAACTAACAGCTAGTTTCAATTACCGAAGAATTTCGTGGAGGACCTTTAAGTCCGTCGTAAATTTATCTTAATAAGTCACTATAAATTTGGTTCATTTCTAGAAGTTCTTGATATTTGTTTTAAAATATTTTATGCGTTTGTTTGGAGTATATACTTTGCGAATCTCTTTGGACTTTTACTTTGCAGCAGTTCCGCAAAATTAGAAGTGAACAAATCTTGCCTTTACAATTTTTTTATTATTATATTAAGCTATATATGGTTCAGTCTGTGTACAAAAAAAGAGTCTGATTGAAGGTTTCTCCTCTTTTCATAAAAATGCACATTTCTTATAAAAATAATTAAATTTGTGTCCTGTGACTTGTATGTTGGGAACGTACTACATATTTCTTCTATATAATAGTAAGTTGTTTCATTCTAAAATTAGCAAAAATTAATTTCGACACGCTGGGAAGAATTAAGTTATTAATTTGTTTCGGTCCCTGTGGTTCGAAGCGAGCGTAATCGCTTTACGAAACCGAATAATATTGGTGTTCCAGGTTCGAGTCCCGACATCGGAGAATGTTTTTTTTTTTATAAACGCTATATTTAAGAACATATTCATATGAAATAGGTACACCACTTACAAAGAACAATAAAAAAATAATAGTACTCTCAGTATCATACTTTAATATATGAA